AGTATTGAACTAGTAAGATACATCTGGAATTCTTTAACCCCTAAATCAAGGATTTTCTCTGGAATAATTAAAAAAAACCCTCAAGCTCTTAACAAAACCAGACAAACTTCTTCAAGGAGTAAAGTCTCAGCTCTCCCAACTGTACAGAATCAAAGTGTGCCATCTTATTATACAATGCACCCCCCTCTCCACACAACTATATAAAGGAAGTTTGGCTGGTACTATGTTGGCTACAGCTAAATGTGTCATAGCAAAGGAAGATTATAAACAACTAGATTAGAGATTCAATATAATCACTGCAGAGAAAGGATTTCCCCCCACAAAGCAATACATTTTTATTAATAAGGTAACAGCATATTACATATACAACTATGAAAACATTATTCTATCATTCTTTATCATGTCCATAAAGCTCTGGAATAGTTTTGATATTTAGATCTTCTCTTTATCCATCTGGAAAAAAAAAAGCCCAAAGATGTACAGAGGAAGAAAAAGATAGCACACACCTCTAAGTCATCGTCATCATCACCATCATTTCTATAATTAAAATATAGATTTGTCTCTTTAAATCATTGATTTTTCTAATAAAGTGCATTGCATGACCATTTAAATTACACAAGGCAACAAACGAGAGATGATTTGTGTTTCACATTTGGAAAATAAGACATTCCTCTCTTATTGTACATGTTTGGGTTTCACATGCAGGATTGGAAAGGAAAAAAAAATAAATCCCAGTATCTCTCACAGAAAGAGCAGCTTTGATTCAAATATATATATATATATATATTTTAAAAATGTCTAAAATCCAATTTACAGCAGAACATTTCCAACCTATATTAAATACCTATTTACACATTCAATCATGCCACAAAAATCTGGTGCAAATTGTTCAGCATAGGCATCGCAAAGGGAATTAAGACAGGCCTTGGGTACCAAAATGTCCCAAGAAGAAAACTAATTTGAAAAATGAAGCAGCCCGGGCCACTCCTTCAAAGGCTGCAGCGAAAACTCAGTTTTGGATCTCTAGTCAGTTCTGTCACGATAGTTCAGGTGAGGTAAACCCCCCCCCCCCAAAATCCCCCCCCAAAAAAAAGGTCACACACCCCTCAAAAACCAAAAACAGGAAATACCCCAACACCCATCAAGAATATGAAATGAAGGGGAGAAAAACCAGATCTTTCTCTGCCAAAGACAACACAAGTGAGAAATATTTTAACACAGGAACCATTTTGTACATCCTGGGCTCAGCCAAGTTTGATGTACTTCCTCTGAGCACTTTTACAAAACATCTGTTTGGTTGCATTTCTCCCCTCATTGAAAAAACTGGCACATGGAGCTATACTGATTTAGCAACTTGAATCATGATCAACGCGTCCCTTTAGCCTTTGAGGATTATTCCCTGAGAGGCCCCTCCCCTGAGAGATCCGAATCTCACTTCTACTTTGTGGGCATTTTCCTTTCCACTTTGGCCTTGTTCCCCCCCCCGCCCCAAACTAGGAAAAGAATGTTAAGGAACTGCTAATTCCCCCCTTTACAAATAATCCCAAGAGCAAAGCTACAGGAAAATACACAAACACACACACAGACTGAAGATTGGCACGATAGGGAATTCTAACAGTCACTTCAACATTGAATGTTGCAGAAAAGTTTCCAGTGGGTCTGCTCTCTTGCAGCAAACACATTTAAAGAGTAGGGTACCAAAAACACAGGGTGCAAGGCAGGGAACTGTGATTTAGCCAGGACTCCCCCCGGGTAGGGTTACCAACCTCCCAGTGGCACCTAGAGATCTCCTGTTATTACAATTGATCTCCAGATGACCAAGATCAGTTCCCCTGGAGAAAAATGGATGCTTTGGAGGGTGGTCTTTGTGGCCTTATACACTGCTGAGGTCCCTCCCCTTCCCAAACCCCACCCCCCCCTTGGCTCCACCTCCCAAACCTCCCAACCCACAGCTGGCAACCCTATCCCCAGGGCATGTTTGCCATGTATTTGTGCATCTACTTCCCTTTCAAATATTATGATATTCACTGCCTGAGCATGAGGCAGACACACTGTAACCCCATCAGCAATGTAAAGAGGCTCTATACTGAGTCACTCAGACTTATTGCAAATGCCACTTAGGATCTTAAAAGAGAAGTGGTGTGTGTGTGTTATGTGCCATCAAGTCGCGTCTGACTTATGGCGACCCTATGAACGAACGACCAGCATCTCAGGTCTTGCGAACGGAAAGCTGTGTGCTTCCTTTACGGAGTCAATCCATCCCATGTTAAAAAAAAAAAGATATCAGGTTTACTTTTTAAACTGACTGAGTTTACTATCTGCTCTTGCAAAGCAAGCGGCAAAGCTCTGAAAAAGAGATCAGAAGGCTACGGACCCAAGCATATACAAGCTAATGTGTGGCACATGGGCCCTTTCTTTTTCTCACTGCCAGGCTGCAGGAGGGACAGGGTGATCTTTAAAAGCATTGCATCCATGGGGGGAAAAATAAACTGTTGTACTTGGTGGTGGTGGGGAGACCTGGGAGCACACACCACAGAGACTTAAAGTTGATGTGGGTGGGCTGCCCTTGTGCCAAATTTCAACCAAGTACAAAAGGAAGTAAAGACTTTGATGAAACCTTCCAATCCTACTAATTTAGACTAATTTAAGAGCAAAGTAATCTACTCATAGCTCTGGGGGACATTCGTTGGTCTGGAGCAAACGCAAGGCGCTTCACTCTGCGCAAGCATTACTTCGCATTGCCCTACTGACACCTAGTGAGCAAAAGGGAGATTTTAATCTAAAAAAGAGGAAGCTCCCAGCTCGATCCTGTCCAATACACATTTCTTAAGGACACATCCCAGAGGCTGGCCAAGCTAAGCTGTTCAATGTAGCCGGTGGGATTTAATCTTGCCAGGCATTTTAGCTACTGTGTGTAGCCACAAGCAGTGTTCCCTCTGAGTTAGTGTGAGCTTTTTTAGCCTCTAGCTCACAGATTTTTGTCTTAGCACAGGAAGGATGGCTCCACTTATTTATGCAGTAGCCAAATCACTTGCTCACAACTTTAATGCTAGTAGCTCACAAAGTAGAACTTTTGCTCACAAGACTCCACAGCTTAGAGGGAGCATTGGGCCACAATGAGGCAAGGACAAATGCAGCAACAGTGCTGGCAAATGTAGAGCTTGTATGTGGTGGGGGGAGGGGTAGAATGTCCACTGGTAATCTTCCCATTTGCATTATGAACAACTCTGCCACCCAAGAGCTGGATATTCCTATACTACAGCGGAAGCTGGACCAAAAGAAGGTACTGGGTTGGATCCAGACTAAACCCGCAGTTCCCACTGACTCGCCCGTGTTGTTCTTCAGGGTCCTTTATCCCCCCCCCCCAGGCCCAGCACTTTCATGGAGAGCAGTGGGCAGTAGAGTGAGGTTTTATGAATGGCATTTCCCACTACAGGATCCAGGGGAGGGACTGCAGAAGTGAGCTGAGCCAAGGGGTCCCTAGGGGTCACGCTGCTCTGACCTAGGTGGCATGGGAAGAGCCAACAAGGGGCCATACCCCAGTTCCCAGATCGAAACTCAGCGACCTTCTGTGGGGCTGCCTGAACTGCTGGGGCTTTGGCCTGGCCCTGGCTGCCAGTGCTCGTCCAAGACAGCAGCCTACCAGGAATGTTCCCAGTGAACTAAAAGGACAATGTAACAGGTGGCGGGGAGGGGGTAGAATGTCCACTGGTAATCTTCCCATTTGCATTATGAACAACTCTGCCACCCAAGAGCTGGATATTCCTATACTACAGCGGAAGCTGGACCAAAAGAAGGTACTGGGTTGGATCCAGACTAAACCGGCAGTTTCCACTGACTCCTCCTTTCCTTGTGTTCTTCTTCATGGACCCAGATCCCCACAGGCCCAGCACGTTCATGAAGAGCAGTGGGTAAGAAAGGAGAGGTGGGAAAGTTCCATTCCACTGTTGGAAAACTGAGCCTGGAACCAATCCGTTATTTTTCCTTTGGATTCTCTGGAGCCAACAAAGCAACTTCTATATCTGAATAGGCTGCCTGCAAATATATTATTTGAACTAATATTGATAACGGGATTCTTTCCCTTGTCAGAAGACGAGAGCATAAGCTCATATGTGTTTTTCTTCTCCCAGAGGTCACACAGCCTAGAGATTTTCAAGCTCACAGTGAACTTCTAGTGAGTGACAAAAAATAAATAAGTTTCGGCCTCCCTGAGCGTGACTAAGGCAAAAATTATGGCTCCCACATTGAGACACCTATTTCTACACAGCAATGTCTGTGTGCCAATTTGCACATGGTTCGGTGGGATCAAAAGGAGACTCTCTGTGTCACTGAAGTGATAGTAAACTGATTGTTCTGTACAAAACCCAGGCTCAGGAATACACTGGAGGTCACTGGTTTATTAGATATCTCCTTTGGCAGTCGGCAGAGTCTGAAAGTGAGGAAGGGGAAAAGCCCCAGAGAAAGTTAGGATTTGGAGTTCCTTGTTCCAAAAGAAAAGAATGCAGAGGTTCTCCCGGAAGAGGCTTGGACCTTCAGGATTCTCCCAAGATCCCCACTCACTTCTCTAGGGAGGGCATGTGCAGTTGGCTCAAAGACTCTCCCTCACCTAATTTATTCAGTTTCCATGCACTCGACAAATTGCCATTTTCCCCTTTTCGAAAAGAGACAGCTCAAGTGACCTAGTCCAGTACAGATCATTCTCTCGATCATTCTGAGGCTGATAAATACTCCTGAAAAGCTGAAGAGACTTGGCATTTGGCAGACAATTACACAGGAAGTGCACATTAGGCAGAGAACAACACTTTGCCACCTCTGGCATGTTACAATTTACACTGGACTGAAAAGCTCTTAATAAAATGGTAAGGCAAGAACACTTGAAGTCCGGTCTTAGCCTCCCCCCCCCCCCCCCCACCCTCCCCCTCCCCCCCCCCCGCCCCACATGCCACTGTATTTATATGCTATTCAGCCATTACCTCTCTTAAGAAACTACACCGCTGTTGCAGCTGCTGGTTTAGAAAGCTCAACATTGAAGAGAACGAAAAGCGGTTTCATCGTGGTAAAGCAGCAAGTAAGGAGGTGGTTCAGCTTGGATGGGCAGGGCAGGGGGTTGCGAAGCTTGTGGGCTGCTGCTCAGCAGCAAGGCAAAAACATGAGACTGAAGATGTACAAACAACACAGTCCCCCTCCAGTAGTGTGGGAAAAAAAAATCAAAACTCTTTTGCTTACAGAATGTACAGAACTTCATGGGCCTAAAAGCTCCCAGCTTGCCACCAGTGGGAGGCCGGGTTGGCTCCTTGCTTAAAAGTTTGATGATTTTCATCCCTAATCCCACAAAAATCAGGAGATCTCGTTGCCAAAGACCTCAAGGACTAGCGGCGTGAGTTGCATGCTGTGCTCGGGCAGAAAGGAGAGGCAGCGGTACTGCTTGGAGTGCTCCTCGTTCAAGCTCCGCAGGTCGGCAAGTTTCTGGATCATCTTGGCATACAGCAGGCGGTTGCCCGGGGGTGGATGTCGACAGAGGATGTACGTCTGCAGGACTTCCGAAAGGCGATCCTGGATGGACTCCACTAGAGCAGTATCCTGCACAAATGGGCGGTCTAGGAAACAGGGCACACACAATTCTTGTGAGTAGGGTGCATAAGAGGACAAGTAACTCTGAGGCTTACATGCAACCAGTCTTATATTTAATTTCTTTTTTGTCTGGCCCAAGTTCCTTGGAACTGCAGGCAGGCAGGGTGGCAGGACAGCAGGCAGGCAGGCAGGCAGGAAGGCAGGAAGGCAGGAAGGAGCATTCCTAAAATAATTCCTGAGTGTGCACAACTGCAACTATATAGCCACAGACATCATTCTATATTTCATGCAATGTGGTAGAAATTGGAGGGGTGTTGGTGAAACTTGAGATGGGACCAAATCAGCCAAGTTTTGGAGATCATGAAATAGCCAGGTTAAGCTTCTGCCAAAATAAATTTGCAGGAAAGAAATCAACCCAGCATCTGGGGCTACCAGGAAGAATGGTACTGCTTCACCATGTAAATTAGAAAAGCGGAAAACAAAACGGAGGAAGGGGATACCGAGGAATTCCCAGGAAGGGACAGGACATGAAGGCTTTGTCAAGATCCACTGTGGAAATTTTGCTTTCCCTTTGAACACCCACACTTCTACATGGAAAATAATGGAAAGCAAAATCTCACAAAGTGAAATGCCTCCTGAGCGCAGCCAGTACCGGCTGTGTTTCCTCTCTGCCCAGTTAATGTGCTGATTAGCATGTTCCAGAACAAGAAACAAAATCCAAGAAATATCTTTTACTAAGCACAACCGAAATGGCACAAAACATTGTGCAAGCTTTCAAGTTCAACGGAACCCGTCTTCAGACTAGGTCGCACAAAACTAAAAAGCAAAATTTGTTCCAGGTCAGGATGGTAATAGTTTTGGTGTTAGATGCTGACAGGCGGTGTGTTACCTCCTTAGTGAGTTTTAGTGCAGCAATCAGACTGCCCGTGGCTTGCATTTCGTTCCAGAAGATAAAAGTCATCTCCTTCCCTCTGCTGCTAGAGAACCCCTCTTGCCCTGCCCTTGCAGTGTTATTTCCTATGCAGAGATTTTCTCCATGAAGGGAAAATGTCACACATGAAATTGCTCTCAGTCACTGGGAACCAGCCAACTACATAGCCCATGTTACAGAGCAAACGGGTTGAGTCTGTGTAACATTCATAGTTTAGATTCAGGTGGGGGTAGCAGTGTTGGCCCAAAGCAGCAGAACAGAGTTTGAGTCCAGCGGCACCTTTGAGACCAACACGAAAGCTTATACTGTTAATAAAACTTTGTTGGTCTTAAAGGTGCCACTGGACTCAAACTTTAGGTTAGCTGTGGGCAGGGCTATTTTTGGGCAGGAACGCACAGGAACGGAGTTCCGGCTGGCTCCCGAGTTGGAACTCATTAGCATAATAGGCCACACCCAACAGCAGAAATTCATTAGGATTGGCTACATTAGGGGTGTGTAGCCTAACATGCAAAGGGTTCCTGCTACAAAAAAAGCCCTGGGTTTTGACAACAAACAAAGTAAACAGAATAAGAAGCAAACGGTGGGTGGGCTGGATGACCACACTTCTGGTAACATGGGGGTATGGCCTAATATGCTAATGAGCTGCTCTCAGGGTGTGGCCTAATAGGCTAATGAGTTTATGTTGTTAGGTGTGGCCTATTATGCTAATGAGTTCCTGCTGGGAATTTTCTACAAAAAAAGCCCTGGCTGTGGGTTCTTCTCAACTGTCATGCGTATGGTGCCTGATTTGGACTGGGAGGGACTGTGGTGGGTGTGGAGAAGAAGTCTGGCCTCCCTCCTCTCATTTCAGTGATTTGAAATGGTTGGGGGGCGCTATTAGACCGAGTGGAGAAAACCCTTCAGGACAGTTTCAGGTTATGAAAGGTGTGAGTGAATGAGAGAGATGGACTGACCGAAGCTCTTTCTCTGCATGTGCCACAGTCTTTATCCAAATTGCGCACACCTCAAGTGGGAACTGAGGAGAACCAGCAACTCATGTCTGATTGTTACACAGGATAGGGACCCCAGGCAAAATGGAACCCAAGATGACTGATTTTTTCTTACCAGGAGAAAGGATGCAGATGGCCATTAGGAGCACATGCTCTTCTTCATGCAGGTTCAGTTTCTTCAGGCCAACTTGAAATTTAACAAGAGGTTCAAGCAATTCCATGTTGTGGCCAGCTGAAAGAGAAACGGAACAGCCCTTCTAAGATGTGGGCGGCAGCCTCTTGATAGATCAGGCAGCCAGGGACCGAGCAAGGAACAAATTTAACTGTAAACCTATAAACTTAATAATATGACTTGTCAAGCAAAGTGCAAATTCATCCCTCCTACTGATCTCACTAAAAAGAAGAGTTATAGGTGTTTTTAAGAGCACTGCATTCCGAAGAAAAAAATGGTCCAGTCCTGGAGATTCTGTTCTGTTATAGATGAGTGCCAAGATAGTATTGCAGGCCTCTGACTGAAGACCCCCCCCCAGGTTTAAGGACTATGTGGTTCAAGAGATTTCCCTTGAAGTGTCAGTATAGTGCACGTGTGTTCCCTACATCAGGATTTATTTAATATGCTTATAAACTAGAGTGGTTAATGTGGAAGGAACTGGAATGAGCACACAAATCATTTAAGCCAAGTTTACCAAATTAACACTCCCATCACTTCAGAGGTATCGAGAAATTATCTTTGTTGGACTCTTTCACTTCTGTGATTGTAGCAGCATTTTACAAGGGGCCTGAAAGGATACACCGTGCTAATAGAATACACCATCATTGACATGATGCAGAGCTAAGGCAAGAATAGGCCGTCCAGATCCTACAGGCTGGATCTCTCTCCCCCACCCAAAGTCTATTGTAACTTTTTTGCTATCATAGGTGGAAAATAAAGATGGCAAAGTGATTGTTTAGTGCTACACCAGGCACCCAGCTCCTTATTCAGTATGCTGCTATAAGGTATCTTTTAGACTGTTAGAGTCTAACAAAATTTTATTCCAGTGCAAGCTTTCATGGACTAGAGCAGCTAACTTAGTGGAATCTAATCCACAAAAGCTTGAAATGGAATATATTTTAGTTAAGAGTCTGAGGTGCTCCTAGGCACCTGTGTTAGTCGGTTGCAGCAAAAATGAACAGGCGCCAAGGAGCAACTGACTAACACAGCTACCCTCTGGAGTTACTTTTTAAAAGTGTGCGTGATGGTATGTTAAGTCTGGAACTGGGCCCATGCTGAAGCAATCATACTGCCCACTTTCCTAACCCGTATTTTCTTCCTATGCTGTAGTGCCAAAATGGCATCACCACAGAAGGGAAACAGCTCCCAAAGTTGTTGCATGACTCACTCAGCTCTTAATATATCTATTGCTTGATAGGTAAATACAGATGTCTTCATTTTCATGCTACATGTACATATTAAGACGAGCCCTGTTCACTCTCAGTAGTTTGTTGTCAAATATTAATTAATCCGTGCATGTAGCATTCTGCACTTTACAAAAATGGTATCAAACTACATTTGGAAGGAAGTTAAGAAGAGATTAGCTTCCCTGAAGCACCCTTGTGCTTGACTTGGTCTCGGAAGCCTTTTGTGCTTGAAACTGCCATACCTTGTGTGACGTCATTGACTTTGTATTTGAACTCATTGCTGCCACAGGTCCACGACATATCCTCCAGTGAAAACGACTGATTTGAACGGAGCATGATTACTTCAATGGCGCTGGATTTCAATAGTGCAATCTGGTCCTCTGCTGTGAGATCCCTGGATTTGGGGATGGGAGAATATATATCTGAGACTTCAAATCATCCATCGTCATATCACTAAAGCAGAGAGTCAAAATTTAAGGCCGCATAGTTCCTTCCACTGCAACCCTGAGAAACAACTTTTTGGAGGGTCAGAAAGAACTTCTCGAAGGGGGAGGAGAACAAGGAAAAGATCTGCATCTAACCCCTGGTCCATTCACATATGCATGCCCATAATTTATAGATGGTAGGCCGTGCGGCTATATATAATAAACAATGTTCAAAGAAGCAGAGATCTGGCTTTAGCAGCCACCCAAAATAGTGTGCTAATATTAAAAAATGGAGGGGGGGGCAGGGAACATGCATGACAACCTCTGGCTACCACAGCAGCTCTGACTTCCTGACCCACCCACTTTCCGTGGTTGGCTGCTTTCATAAGCAAACTGAGAGCTGTCCCATTTCAGGCAAGAGTGAGCTTCATAGATGCAGGTGTGTACAAAGACTCTGTGCCCTCCCTGCCCAAGGAGACGGGCCCTGGTGAGCTCAGAAAGGAGGAGCGGGTTTGGCCGAGTCCCTCCTGCCAGGCTCAGAAGTGCTACCAAAACTGCTATACTGAGGAAATGCATTTTTAATCTATTTCTTTGAGATATTTATAAGCCTCTTTTTCTCCCGACTGTCTCGTTTAGGAGAATATTTACTATGTTCTACTGATAGCTTTTTTTTTCATCCCGTAAACCCATGTTGCCCTGACCTGGACAGCCCAGGCGGGTCTGATCTAGCCGGATCCCGGAAGCTAAAAGCAGGGTCGGCTACAGGCAGCACTTGGATGGGAGACGCCCAACGAATACCGAAGTCGCTACGCACAGGAAGGCCATGGCAAACCACCTCTGTTCCTCTCTTGCCTTGAAAATCCCATGAAAGTCAGCTGTGATTTGATGGGGGAAAACAAAACCACCCCACCACCTCAAGGTCTCCTCGGAGACATGTTGTAGGGGGACAGATTTTTAAAACAAACAACACACACTGTCTCACGCACAAACCAGAACAAGGAAATACAGAAATTAAATTCATCCTCACTTGAATCCCGGAATCATTTTTGCAAATCCGGTCACTTTCTGGATGCTGTAGCTCACCAGATCAGCCAGGTGAGGCAGCATGGAGAGGTGAGAGAAGTCCATGGCCATGGACGCACTGTCATCACTGTCGTCACTCAGCTGCAGATTCAGGAACATCCCGGGCTCTGCAGAGTAGGAGACAGGGTGGGGAAATGCACTGTAGAGCCTTCTACACAGGTTGCGCATTTCAGACAAAGTGATGAGTGTCTTACTTTTAACAAATGGCAAGTCAGTTTTTTTTTAAAAAAGCCCAACCTGGGAAACAAGACCATTAGTGTCTGTTGGAATGCTGCTAGTTATGGTTTTACTGTTATAATGTTTGCTGTTTTCGTTGCTTTTTAATTTTCTACTGTATATTCCTTTACAGATTTTGCTATTAAAGTGGCATAACGGTTAAATACATACAGTGGGCATCCTTCCGGGTCAGGAAAACAGAATGTGTGTGTGTGTGGGGGGGGAGCAGGAGCCCCTTCACCCTCCCATGCCATAGTCCTACCAAGATTTGTGGCCTACATGCACTTTTAAAGGGAGCTCACCATGGGGATTGGCATATGACTGCTGGTCTCCATGGAGACCATGCAACAAGCCTGTTTAGTTCGACCCTCAGTATGTGTATTCACTCAGTTCTGGGGAGAGGGGGGGAAGAGACACATAAATATGACAAAATTGGAGACTGCATATTTATTTGTCCACCACCCCACCCCTGGAATTGAATCCAAACAAATGCTGACCATGTAAACTTAGCTTGTTATCCCTGTTTGGTTCTCACATCTGTCAAAACAACTTCATTATGTTATATGCTAATTTGCTGTTCACCCTCTGTCTATATGTATGGACTGATAAACTTCTGTTTCGATGTGTCTGAGGCAGTGTGCATGCACACAAAAGCTCACACCTTCAATAAAATTGTGTGGGTCTTCAAGGTGCCACTGGACTCAGACTTTGTTCTACTGCTTCACACCAACATGGCTGCCCACCGGAATCTATGGGCAAAGATGGTATTCCGTGCTGTGCGTGTTACCTGGAGAGGAGTTAAAAGTGTCTGAAGAATCATCTGAGGAGAATCCTTGTGTCATGAAGGACGAAGATCTGCTCATACTTCTTTTGCTAGAATCACTTCTAATAGGAGGCTGGAAGAGAAATGGTATTTCTTGGTAATTATTTCCCTTTTGCCTTCTATCCCTTTTGCCTTCTATTTCCCTTTTGCCTTCTATCCTACTACCACCCTCTCCGCTCTCCTAATTATAGTGACAGGGAAGTCTGTGCACCAAATGGGACATCTTGTCAGGAAGAAAAGTGTGGCTTGTCAAGAACATTCTCCGTCAGCTTCTCTGCCAGTGAAGTCATTGGCGGTAGGGCCAGGTTAGTGCAGGGGCCATTAGCCACCCACTTCCATTAAACTTTGCCCTGCTCTTTTCCTCATAGACCTCTTTCCTAGAATAAATGTGCCGGCATAAAAATATTCCTTCCCTATTGTGATTTTGCACCAATTTCACAGATGCGCCAATTTCTATAGCTATGTATGAAGACTGAAGCAGAAGAAAACTCTTTCAGAATGTATGTTATGAGACAGCGAACCACAGCAAATGCAAATGTAGACATCAATTGCATATAAGGCTCTGCAAGAAACCTGCAAAGGCTAGTCCGCGATAGCTACAGCTATAGGTACAGCACCTACGCACTTTCCACGGTATAGCTAGGAGCCGCATACCTACCAACCATTTAACAGAGATGTTGGTTCTGCTCATGAACTGGTAGAAAGAGAGGTCTGGAATATTACAAGCATACAGACTTTTGTTACCAGCCCACATGCTTTCAAGATTAGAGGATAGATAAAAGGCCAGTTCCCTCCCCTCTAGTACTGTTCTCTACCTCAACCCCTATCACTGTAGTGTGCCTATACAGCCACTCTGTCAAGGAACCTCCTGGAGACCTACCATACATTGGGCAAACCGGCTTAACACACGCACACGCACACCGAGCTTAAAAGGTATACAATTTCAAAGGAAACATACAAACAAAAAAAGTGGCTTGTAATTTTGTTCCAGCATCTGCAATCGTTATTCAAACATACTGGTTGCTATCCCACCATATCCACTCTTCAAACATGTAGTCTGAGATGCTGATCTTCTTAGTGGATAAGCTACAACAATTTAAAGTGTTGTTGACAGCCAGGCACCAACTGCCCCAATTGCAAATCCAATTAATGTCAAGTGGAGAGTGTCTGGCCAGAACAAGTATCCAAACGGAAGGAAATAGGAAAGGGTCTCTGACAGTCAGCAAATCATATGTTTGTCTCATGGTTTCACTCTATAGGCTGCAAGCCACTTTGTTTCCAGGCAGAAATGAATGAAGATTTATTCAGAACCGTTGATTTTTTTAAAAAGCCATGGTGCCGAAAAGCTTTCCTTTCCCTGGATTTAACAGCCTAAAGCTCTTGCATTCTCAATACAAACTCACTTTGCCAGATGTACAGAAATTATATGGCAAAATAAAGGAACGTCCACCATGCAATTTCTTAGTTTGCAGGAAAATAAGAAATTTCAACTTCTTGGCATCCAGAATGCCTGCCAAGTTTTCAGTCCAGGGAGTAATGTATTTATCACGAGGCGATTTTGAAATGACATTTTAAAAAGTATGAAATATGGTCAGGTAGATGAGAACAAAAAACACATCTGCGGTTTTCTGACGGGATATTTTAAAACCATCCTGTCATTGAGGCTGAGTTAAAAGCGTTACATCGCCCTAATATATATGCTCGTCTATATTTAGGAATTGTCACATAATAAAAATAAGACTGGAGAATAAAAGCATCCCTGAATACGATGTTCTAATGTAGAGAACATTTACATTTGGCATCAGTAACTAACAAACCTGAGTCTCTTTTTAAAATCTTTTCCTGGGCCAGTATAAAGATCCTATTTGGTAGGTGCTGAGAAGACACTAACCACGGCTCATGGACTGGTAGCAGTTCTACCAGCAGATGTCCTCCCAGCCACAGCTGAAACAAGATTAGGACATGTGCAAAGCTTACCCGAAACTGACTGAAATCCGAGTAAGTCTCGTCATAAGTTTTGCGGTGGGCTTCCAGGAGAATCTCAATGACCCGCAGCTGCTCCTCAGACAACTTGGGCTTCAAGCTCTCTTTAAGAGCTTCCTCTTCCTTCCTCTTCATTATCATCTCTCTTTTCCTCTGAACCTCTTCGTCTGTCAGAATAACTGTAGGCCAAAAGATATCAAGCACAGAATGGCTGAATTTATTTACTTTTGATTTTTTTATTCACTGATTTTCCGCTGAGACTCAAGGTGGTTTACTGGATATAAAATAGTGCAATCAAACAGCATAAGACAAGCAACGAACAATGCCAAAGGACTAGGATTACAGAATTAGGGAACAATGTGAACAATAAACCTTGGTATTTTCTACACAAGGACAAGCAGGTGTAGTTTCACCTACTACTGATGGGGCTGCCAGTACAGTGCAGTGATCACAGAATTTCCACATGGCAGGTTTCCTCAGTTTCTCTGCTTCAATCCCTTGGTACTAGTCATCTCCCCCACAGCACAAGGGCTTTTTCAATTATTGTTATATCTCTGCAATGTTTTAACGATACCAAGGTTAGAATTGGTAATTTGCAATGTAAACCACTCAGAGAACCTTCGGGATTAGAGCGGTATAAGAAATCGAAAGTATAAATAAATAAATAAATAAATAAAATAAACAATCTGAGGTTGGGCACACTATGAACAATACAACGTTTGAGTTCAGTGGCACCTTTAAGACCAACAGAGTTTTATTCGAGGTATGAGCTTCCTTGTGCATGCACACTTCCTCAGATACGTTGAAATGGAAGGTAACAGTTCATTGATACATAGAGAGAATGAACAATGAACTGTTACCTTCCATTTCAGTGTATCTGAGGAAGTGTGCATGCACAAGGAAGCTCATACCTCGAATAAAACTCTGTTGGTCTTAAAGGTGCCACTGAACAAAAACGTAGTTCTGCTGCTTCAAACCAACACGGCTACCCCACCCGGATCTATAAACAATACAGAAAGAGGATTACAACGTAAAGCTAATGCTATAAAAGCCAGTGAAGATCGGACTCTTGGCACTTGCAACAAAGATGCTGTCAGGGCTGCTTTTTGTGTAGTGACATGGAATGGCTACTGTAGGTTACACCACTGCCTAAGGAGAAATGAAATCAGTGGAACAGTCTTGTGGTACTTTACAGAATAATGGTTTTATTGTGCCGTAAGCTTTTGTAAGTCGAACCACCACCACTTGAACTGTTTGGTCTGAATGGACAACACTTGAACTGTGAGCTTCAAAATTCTGGAATAGCTTCATGATCACAGTCTGTTCGGGAGCTAAGCTCACATTATTACAGATCTTAGCAAGATAGCTGCATTACAATATTAAGGCAACTGTGTCTTTAAGACTGAACACCAGGAGAAGATATTTTTTTTAATATCACGTAGCTCTAGTTCAGTACACTGGCCTGTGGAGGTTACGGTCTCTGATCTGATGCTGATGAAATTGTTTCTTGACTCCTGCTGCTAAAACAATTTGGCTGAAAATGTTTAGCAGTCTGCTGCTGTTCTGTTCCACTTTATAGCAGTTGCTGCCCTTTCTTGATGGCTGTACTGATGTTTTATTGGGCTTATTATATTTTTTGGATGTTGCTGCAGTTGCTGTTCCTTTCCTTTTCCTATGTATGTAATAGGACTACTGAACTTGCTCTTTTGTGGTTTTTTAATTACCACTTATTATGTTTTGTGCTTTTAGTACCCTTAGCTGCCTTGAATATTTTGCGGAAAGGCAGGATGAAAACCTTTTCATTACAAACAGTAGCTGCCCCGGTCAAGCTTCCTAGACATGACTCCATGTCAACTCAAGTGAAGGAAATAAGCATCTAGTGGTGTTTTCCCTTGTACCGCTGTTTCTGCTTCAAGACTGCAGGCATTTTTGACATAGGCAGCTTTGAATAATGGCAGCAGTTTTGCCGGTGGCACAATTCCATCGACAACAGACTGTGAATCATGCACACATGAAGCTGCCTTATACTGAATCAGACCATTTTGGTCCATATGTTCTACTCAGACTGGCAGGGGCTCTCCAGAGTCTTAGGGAGAGGTTTTTCATTCTACCTACTATACTACCTGCGCCTTTTATCTGGAGATGCCATGGACTGAGGGATATGCAGCTGTTGCTGGGATTATGCAGGCCTCCAATACTAACAAGTTTATCATCCCAGATAAAGGCTCCTTTCTTAGGGCAACATAGCCTGTTTGTGGAAAACATGGATAAAGTCTATACCCAGAAAATTACAAGGAGGGGGAAAAACCTAATCCTCCACAGACTTGAGTGACGGAGACAAACATGGGCAGGGATCAAGCCACACACCACTTTAGTGTCCAAAATACTACAAACTTCCATTTTGTCATGTTAGCAAATAAGAGATGGTGGAGAAGCTTGCAGTTCAACAAGGCATGCACACATAATGCTCCATGCCACACATTTCCTTGGACTAGGGAACATTCCTTCTCTTCCAACACTCGCATTTCCCACAATTATTTCCACTGAGAGAGCAACCTGCCCTAAGAGTTTAAATAACAAGGTAGATGTGTGTTCTGGACACCAACACCACAACATGTTGGAGACAAAAATGTCATGCGTTATACTTCACTATGATTGAGGGTTTCTCATTTGATTGTTATGGGCTTCTGTTGTGGTTGGTGAAGCATGGTGACGAACGATACTTCAGGGAACACAGTAACATCCAAAAAGGTGGTCTGGGACAAAAGGTCTTTGCAGGCAGCAGCCCACAATGGAAAGAATTTGGACTTAGAATCTGGGAAACTGGCATTTCTATCTGAGCTCAGCTACTGGTATCCTTCAGCAGTCGGTTACAGCCCCCTGCCTGTAATCCGGGAATAAAATAATCAACTATAACACAGGTGGAAGTGTAAGATGAAATATTATAAAGTGTTTTGCACACTAAAAAAAAAAATGGTATAAAAATTATACCGCTTCAGCTGCCCATTCTTTCCCACACATTATAAGAGCCACCCTGGAATGTGTGACATTTAGGACGAACAGGACAGCAAATGGAGTCCAGCCATGCAAACCAGTTTGCTGGTATGCTAAGACCGCAGCATTTTTGCTTTCTTATCTTGGAGGGATGCGTCAGAGTCTCTGAATAAGAATGCAAGCCTGGGGGTCCACGCTGCTCCTTTGGCAGAGATATCACTCCAGGAGGCCAGAGGACAAAATGGAAACGCTTTCCCCCAGTGCTGGAACAATCCCCGCCTCTAAGTAGTTTCAGAGGGTAGCTGTGCTGGTGAGCAATAGAACAATGAGATTCAAGTCCAGCAGCACCGCAGAGTGGTCTCAAAGATGTTACTGGACTCTACGTAGTCCCCCCCCCAAAAAAAAAAAAGTTATCTGGCATGATTGTGTGGAAATAGCTCAGTATACACACCATTTATAACTCCAATAATATGTGCTCTTGATTCCTTTTCACAATTACTTACTGCTGTTTTAGTAAGTCTTTGAGATATATTTCAAACAAAGCTGTTCTTCCCTCACCATGGTTTGAAAAAAACGTTTTATTGAATTCTTGCATGTACATGTACCATAGATTCTTCACATAATATTATTATTGCATATGATTTATTAAGGCTTTCATCCACTTTTGGAAGAAGAATAGTATCGAAACGATAGAACATTCCGGAGACCATCGTCATACCATTTTCAACTGCCTTGTGCATTTATATGATTTTTGGTCACATTTTTGTATAAATTTTGTGATTGTTTATTGAAATATTTTCTAGCGCAGTTACCTCACAGTTTCTTCTTTTTGCGGTCTTCCCTCACCATGACCAGCTAGCAGGACCGGACTTCTTAAATTTTGGAGCTGGGTGTGAGGGAAGAGCACATCACATCAGTAGCCATCAGGGGAAAATCTTACCATGCAGCTGTTGGCTTCAGGGGACAGATTTGTAAGAAGCACTTTGTTGTTTGCTGCTCCTTGCCCCAAGGGACTGTCAGTGAAGTGTGGGACAGAGGCATGGCTCCCATTTTTCTCCACTTCAGAGTCGACTACCCATCTTGATTTACTGTGCGTAAGACTTTGTTTCCGCCATATACCATCTCATCTGATTTCACTTGCGTGGGTTTATTGCACCATCAAAAATCTAGTAAACTTTGAGATTTGAGATTAACGGACCCCACACATTTCTCTTGAATACATGCTTATTTAGAGTAAGATAAGTGTGCAAAAGGGAAGAGGCACAGCTACTTGTACTGGCAACTCTGAATTTCACAGGAAATTGAGAGGGACTCTGCTCATGTCAACGGACTGTTTACCAAACAGACACAATTTCTTTTTTCTCCTAATCAGATACATTGGTTATCGGATACTGTATAGTACTGTACAGCAGAGTTTCTACAGCAAAAAAAAGAAAAAAGAACAGATGCTGTGGTGGACTAAGAATTGAGTGCCATACCCTGATCAATTTTATTTACAAGACACATAAGTGTGTTCTCAGAAGTATTATTTTCCATTCAATTTTGATCTCTAATAAAAATCCTGTATGCAGCCTGTCTGCTATTCATAGACCCTATGCGGGTGTGTGTGTCCTTTAGGTATATGCTTCCTGCTTGCCAGCGTGATTGTTTTACTCACAGGTATCCGGATTCTGCAGGAGCATCCATCCCCCTCCCCCTGCCAGTTCTACTAGGCCTCATCACTGTTCCTAAGATTACATTTAGGGAGGTATAGTAGTGGTAGGATTGCTTTTTTGGCACAATAGCATCTGGTCAGTCATGCTCAGGAAAGCCTCTGGGTACTCGACACCTTAATATTACTCGTGTGCCTTTGCTGGGTGTCAAGTTGAAGTTAATGCATGCTGTAAGCAATGGAAGAACCATTATCTGCTGTTCTCTGGACCCCGTGGGATATCGGTTTTCAAGACATGGACAGGTGCTGCAAAACTTGGGTTGCTTTCAGATCCAGCCTGGCATTCCATGCAGACTTGGAAACAGCCGTGTGGGCCAGAGCGTGCCATAGGGACTCCTAGGCTACAAGGCCATACTGGATGTGCCCAGATAATGCTATGCAGAGCACAACGAAAACATACAGATCTATTAGACTCTAGTTGATGTAACATTTTACTAGGTATGCGTCAAGTTATTCTAGGGATCCTTTAATAAC